GTTTACCTTCTTTGTTATAAAAATAAAATGTTCACATTATCGGTCGATTATGAGGTGTGTGTGTGTTGAGGGGGGGGGGCGCGAATGAAATCTTGGCATAAATTTAACTAATTAAGATATACTACTTAATGTTATTAAGTAACATGAATTTGTTCATAAAAAATATATAAATGATGATGAAAGTTATTTCATTATTGAAATGAATTATGCAATTAGTTTTGTCTAGTTAAATATTATGTTCTAATGAATTATGTTTGATTATTGTTATTATACAAATACTGAAGTTTGTTTTATTGTTACTAACTCAGTTGAGCGTGACCAGCTTGTGGGAACGAAATTAGTGAAGAGTCTTTCTGAACTCCCTTACGATGAGCGTTTTAAACGCCTAAACCTTTTCCCCTTGTCGTATCGTGGGACACGAGGTGACCTTATACTGTCATTTCGTATCTTTAATTATGATTTGGGTGGTAATATGTCTTATCTTTTTGCTCCTTCCAGCACTAATAATCTTCGAGGTCATAGCAAGAAGGTTCATAAACCGCGATCTAATAAACTTAAAGTGGGGTCCCGTTTTTCTCATCGAGTAGTCAATCATTGGAACGCCTTACCCGAACAAGTGGTATCAGCCCCATCAGTGAATATTTTCAAGGAGAAACTGGACCTTCACTGGAAAGCAATGTGTCAGGATTAACACAGGTTCACCAACCTATTATCCTTATTACTGGAGACTGAAGACTGGAATGAGTAGTTCTTAATATCTTGATAAGACAGATAATTAAATATAGTTAATATTTTTGTACGATAATTCATCTATCTGTATTATGTACATACGTTTTACACTATCCTAAAATGTCATGATATACTAGTTCGATAATCAAAAGTGAATGTAATGCCCCGATCGATTAGTTTGCTTTATATCTTAATAGATTATTAATGTTTAAAAATACACTCAATCTTCTGACTTATCAGTCTGAACAGTATCCAATATATGTGAATCGATAAACTCTTCTTGATTACGTAATTGGGAAACATACCCGTTGAAATCATATGAACTACGGATATTGTAGTTTAAAGCAAATAGTCCCTTTGATAACTTTCAATAGTGTAGCAAGAATAGGAAAATTATCAGAAATATGTAATGGTATATTAGCGCAATATCATACAGGTATAAATTGTTAGGAATGAGGGCACTTCTGACTAGAGAACATACTGCACCCAAATCTAGTGAAATATTAGTTGGACGACTAAATAACTCTCAACATAATGTTGGGACAAACAATTCATATTCACTAAACGAAACTAACGGGACATTTAACATACATGCCTTTGAATTCTCCTTGTACCATCTAGTATGGTATCCGCTGAATTCGCAGTATGAATACCGATTACTTATTGAGCGAACGCTTCTCACTTCCTGATAATTCACGTAGTGGACAGTTAGCCTGGAAACCTTTGTACTACTGTAGCAGTTCAACTTCTAAAAACCTGAGATCATGGATACCCATTCTTCTAAAGTCCCTACCTAAGGAGCAGATTTTGAGCTTCCAAAAGCTTATTTCATAAACTCCTATTACAGTAGTTACTGGCTCATGTCATCTCTAGACTGGTTAAGAACAATTTCCTTGCGTTCCGTTGACGAATAATTTGGGGATGCTGCAGTTGCCAGCTCTTGAAGACGTCCGATTGAGGAAGCTGACTTTTCTCTTTCAAATCTTTTAGCTCTATGAAACTCTTTTCATATTAAAACAGGATGTTTTGAAGGTCCAAATGCTACTCGTATTTCAGTAAGAAGACCATTTACGTCGTTTATTGTTAGAATCTTAATAGCCAAAAGTCTTAGCCGTTTTAACAACTCTCTAGCGAAGGGGGTGCCTATCATGCATGTACGTTGGTTTCTAGCACAATTCATCAAGTACCGTAGACATTCCGGTTAATACAAAGCAAACGACTCACCTAGAAGATATTTTCGAGGTGAGTGGACTTGTAGTTCAGCTGGTGGTTTATCTTTTGGACTGATATTATATCATAAAGTTTTCGTTCTATAGTAAAAACGTTTTCGCATCGGTATTAGATTTACATATTATATTTAGAATCCTTACTTTCTATTTAAGCATTCTCAGATTTCAGTGTCTTTTACAATCTCGCCAAAAATATGATTCAAATTGTTGTGGATAGAATAGAAAAAGCTTTCACTTAACGAATTTCCGTGTCTAGTAGCAGTGGATCACCAATACATCCAGGCAGGAACCTAGTTATAGTAACGATAAAAGAGGAAAAGAAATTGGTAAATCATAGTAAGATACTATCCATAGACCTTAAGAATTTGTCAAGTCTCCTCTTAAAGGACTCCTGGGAAGCCACTTAAACTAGCTCAATCGGCAGTGAACTCCAGCATTTGACCACTCTTAAAGAGTAGAAGGTGTGTCTACAATCCGTTCAGATGTGTTGTGTCTCCAGTTTCTGGGTGTTACCCCTTGGGTTTGTGTTGCAGCTAAACTTAAGTAGGTGTTTAGGGGGATGTTCAGAAGTGTTAAGGATACTGTAAGTCATTATAAGGTCACCTCTAAGACGCCTGTTCTCTGATGGGTAAATATTTAGTGATTGAAGGTGCTCTTCATAAGACTCATTTGATTCCTCGCCGTTTGATACATTTCAGAGTGTCCGTTGTCATCTGCCGAAATTCGAAGTCGAGGCATATCCTCTTGAAGTACCAGTTTATCATCTAGGTTGAAAACTTCCCTCCACAGTCTCACATCACCAGCGAAAAATAACCAGGTGTGGAAACTTGGACCAACGCTCATCTGTACCAGGGTCTATGTTGATGCCTGCCTGTCTGTCTATCACTTTGCCAATGTAATCTGTTTTGTCCATAAACATTATCTTCTCTCCTTTGTCCGGTTTACTTATACTCAATATGTTGTTTTTTCTCGTTGGTAAATTGTCGTGATGATGTATCGTTGGTGGAAATTTTTGGCGAACTTACCAATTTTGTTCTATTTGACATACTAATTGATGCTTTCTGCCATTTATTTGTTTCCCTTCAACTCATTTCGTATCTCTAATGTGCTACATTCACATTTTAACTGAATACTCATAAATCTCTTGTTCGAGTTCCACTTGCTAAAACCGTGAAACATACTTCCTTAGGTCTGCTACCTATCGTGAAGGAGCATGGTCCGTCCACTGGGATTCTCCGTCCAACTCTGTACTAAGCAATACTTTCCGGTTGTTTCTAATTGCTATTCACTCTTTTAATGTTTACATCGAATTCCCAACGTGATTTGTTCTTTGGTCTCCTTATTCTCCTTTTAATTAAAGGTTTCTGTGTTGGGGCTTGCCTCGTGATGCAGTTTGGTGATTTCCACAATGTATGTCCCGTCCATCTCCAGAGTCCTTTTTGATTCCATCTTCAGATGGAAGCAAGTTTGTTCTCTCCCATAGTGGGTTATTGATGGTGGTATCCGAAGAACAAACATGGAATATCTTGCGTAGATAATTGTTTATAAACACTTGTACATTTTTGATGGTAGTCCTAGTAATTCTGAAATTTTGGGCTCCGTTAGATAGGAATGTTTCTACATTTGTTCTGAAGGATCTGATTTTGGTATTGATTGACAGTTATTTTGAGTCGAATATGTTTTTGAACTGTAGGAATGCTGCCTCTGCTTTCCCAATCCTTTTTTTAACTTCTCGTTTGTCTATGATACTGTCCAGGTACGTAAAACTTCCCACCTCTTCCAGAGCTCCTTTATCAGGTGTAACTGGGTTGGCGTTTCCTGCGTTATACTTCGTGATCTTTCTTTTTCCCTTGCGAATGTTGAGGCCCACTTGTTACAGGAGGACTGAAGACATTTGGCGGATTAAAATCTTTTTATTGTATATCAATAATTTACTGTGTTTTTGGATGTATTTGTTTTACTTAACTTTTGAACTTGTTTGTTTATATCATTATTTCGGACATTTTGGTTTCCTTTTGTCGTTGGTTTGGTATTTGGTAGTTTTTCCCCGGGAACCTACAAAGTTGAAGGTTTGTTCTTTAATTTTCATAATTATTGTTGTTAGAACGACATTTGGTTGACAATTTGTGAATTGTGGATAAATTTGGTATCTAAATTGGAGTTTGGTTCTACTGTTAATTTGGGTTCGTAATTTACAAGTAGATCGATAGTCCGTACTTCAATAACTGGAACAAGCAAAATTTGGACGTAACACACTAATGTAGAGGTTGCTATTACACTGTCTGTCTTCCCCTACATTTGTTGAGGTGAGTGAGACAGAAGAGCTCTGTCATCTGCAAAGTCCAAATAATCTATTTGCATACAAGCCATCCAGTGAATTTTGTGCTTCCCTTGTGATGAAGAGATCTCCATAATCCTTCAGTCAACCACCAAAAGAAAGAGGAAGAGGGGGAGTGAACAGTCGTGGATGACTCCCGTCCTCACTTAGAGTGCGTCTGCCAGCTGTCATTCATGCTCGACTTTGCTGTGTAGTCTATCGTATGAGTTCCATATGATGCTGACGACTTTCTTAGGTGCATCATAGTGTGAAGGAAGGTTCCATAGGGTCCTTCTTCTTATCCACAATATTAAGTAGTTTCTCATGTTTGAGTGAGTTGGTGTATAGTGATGAGCCCCATTCAATTGATAGTTCAACAGTGATCCGTAGTGTTGCCACTTGTTTTGCACACGGCCGTTCCTTAGAGAATCCGGACTATGGACCTTGAAGTTGGGCATCTACTGAATCTTTCACTCGGTTCAACAATAATCTACTAAAAAATTCTCCTGGTACTGATGTTAGTGTGATGTTTCCATGGAATTACATTTGCTGAGATCTATTTTCCTCGGTATCTCGAGTTATACTGTTTTCCATTTAAGGGAACTGTTTCTTTCTCTCAAATTTTCCTGAATAGAACGCGAGGCATCTTTTCAATTACGTACATGTCGGGACACAATGCTTCCACTGGTATGCTTTCTGGTTCTGCTAACTTCCCACTCTTAATT